TTAAAAAAAAATCATCTTAATTGGGCATCGCCCATCGGAATGTAAAGTTATGGCCTCCGAAAACTTGTATGCATTGAATGTGTAACCCACRATTCAATCACTGAGTCAAATCGGCCGAATTGAATGTTTTTTTACTAAATCAACGGTTTTTAACTGTCTAATGGATCTTAACTGAACTGGACCCAAAATTCTAACAATTCGACCGGCTGGATCAACTGCAGATTGAAAACATTGGTTTGAGCTTACTTTTGTTGCACTATCTTCTTCAACATCATTCACAGTTGGGCCAGGGCTGGGTGGGTCTGGAGGTGAATTGGACCACTATTCAAATCGTTGGGTTTGCTCGCACAGCCTCTCATCGGTTCAACCAACATTGCTAAAAAAGAGAATGTGCCCGAATCAAATGTAGCACCTTTCTTTTTTGGCAAAAGTGTACTGCCTTTCTATTGTTGGGTAAGAGCTGCCCAATGGTCGTTGGCCCCTCAAAAAATATAGCCTACTGAGGCTTGTGCGGAGATTCTGGCCAGCGGAGTACTTATGCGTTACAATTGGTGCCATGTGAGAGGAGGGGTTAGAGCTTTACAGGCATGATTAGGCACATCTCGTGGCATGCTGCAAAACATCATTACAGTCACAAACTAGTTAAAGGGACTAAAAGAAGAGTATAGGGTTGTTCAGTAATTATTTTAAAAGGGAAAAATACGGACAGGCAGAGAAACATAATTAGCTGTAAATAATCACTTGCATATTGCAGGTCGAAGCTGAATCACTACAAACCCCGAGCATGTTTAACCAGTCTTCGAAATTCCAACCTCCTCTCTAATACAAAAAAAGTTTGAACTTCCACCCTTCCTTTTAATAAAGTACCTGTAAGCGTTTGCCGATTCAGATTTGTTACACGCCTTGTACCAACTTAACAGTTTCACATTGTCTTTAGGTTCAGTTTGGAAGAAATACAAATGCAAATATGTATAGCGTAAATGCATACAAAATAATTGATAACATTGTTCGCTATTATTTTTGGGAAGATGATTTTAATGCACGGCTGTAATGCACTGTAAATATGTAATGTTGGTGTAGGGCGCGCTGTGACCTGTGAGGAATAAATCTATTCAATCAAGGAAATTTTGGCAAGGATTCTTAAAATTCCAATACAAATACAAATAATTATTTTTAGAGTTGTAACTAGCACCTTTCCATACGTTAAAGAGAAGGTTATCAAGAAATTAGTAGGATGGAAAAAAAATTCCCTTTCTCTCGCCGGAGGCTCACTTTGCTCAAATCTATTACCAATATGATGCCCTAGTATCTTATGAGATCCTTTAGGATTCCCAAAAGGGCCATTAATGATATTTATAAAATTCAAAAGAAATTCCTTTGGACAAGTTCGAGTGAAAGAAATCTAGGCCATTAATGACATTTCTTCTAAATCACCATGAAGAAATGCAGTTTTAACATCAAACTACTCATTCTCTAAATTCAGACTTATTGTTAGGCCCAATACTACTTTGATTGATGACATCTTTACAATTGGAGAGAAATTTTCATCAAAATCAACGCTTTTTGTCTGACCAAAGCCTTTCACAATCAACATTGCTTTGTACCTTGGTTGTGAACATTTTTCTTCTGTTTCCAACCTAAATACGCATCTGTTCTTTAGTGCCTTTTTGCCTTTTGGTAAATCCACCAAGTCATAAGTGCAGTTTTTATGCAATGAATCTACTTCTTCTTGCATAGTTTTCAACAATTTCTCTTTTTCTTTACTTTCTACAGCTTCTTCATAATAACGTGGTTCACTTGCATCACTGAGCATAACATACTCATGAGGAGAGTATTTCTTTAATGGCACTCATTCCCTAGTGGACCTCAATTGTGGTTTTTCTTGAGTTTGAGGTTGCTCTTGTGGTACTTGAGGAGCTTTTATGGGTTGTTCCCCTCTTCATGATCAACTTCACCTAAGTTGCCACCTGAAGTGCTACCATCATCAACCACATTATCTTGTAAGTCTTCTCTATTTTCACCATGTATAACAGAGGAAGGAATTGGATCCAAATCAGCAAAGCATTCAGACTTTGCAATGTTCTCAAGTTCAACTATTTGATTTTTAGGAAAGATCACATCTCTCATTCTTATTATTTTCTTGTTAGTTGGATCCCATAATCTGAACCATAATTTTTCATCTACATAACCCAAGAAAATGCACTGCTTGGATTTTCCATCAAGCTTGAACCTTTCATCTTTAGGAATATACACAAATGCCTTGCAACCAAACACTCGTAGGTGGTCATATGAAACATCTCTCCTTATCCACACCTTTTTTAACATATCTCTTTCCGAAACAATTGAAGGAGATAGATTAATTAAATAACAAACAGTACACATTGCCTCTCCCTAAAAAGATTTTGGCAATTTAGCATGTAAAAGCATACACCTAACTCTTTCCTCAATTGTGTGGTTCATCCATTTAGTCACACCATTATATTGTGGAATCTTGGAAACTGATTATTCATGTCGAATACCATTGTTTTTGTAGTATTCCTCAAATGGACCAATGTATTCATCTCCATTGTCTGTACGAATGCATTTGAGGAGTTTCCCTATTTCTCTTTCAACTATAGCATGAAAATGTTTAAATATCTTCAAGATCTCATTTGTATGTTTCATAGTATATGCCCATATTTTCCTAAATGCATCACCAATGAATGTAACAAAGTAAGAGGCACCGCCAAGAGACTTGGCTTTCATGTCACATACATCAGAATGAACAAATTCTAAAACATTTTGTTTTTTATGAGGATTTCTTTGAAAAGAAATTTTATGTTGTTTACCAGCAAAACAATGAACACATGAATCTAAATGCGTACTTTTCAAGCCTGGGAGGAGTTATTTCTTGGCAAGAACTTGAAGTTCTTTCTCACTCATGTGACAAAGCCGCTTATGCCATAGGTTGGATGAGCCTTTTTTTTATAACATTCAGCTACCCCTTGCATAACTAAGCTTTCATTCTGTAAAGAGTACAGCATCTTCTCCCCTTTGCCACTACAAGAGATCATTTGGTGAGCTTTCATTTTCCTTCACCAAAATTATTGTTGTAGCCTTCTTCATCTAATTTTCCTATAGAAATTAGATTGAAGTGAAGATCTGGTATGTGTCTCACATTCTTGAGAACCAATTTACAACCAACATTGGTCTCTATTTGTACATCCTAACCCCACAATTTTTTATGTGTAATTGTTACCTAGTTTTACAACACCAAAATCCCCTAATTTGTAAGTAGCAAAGAGTTCATTGTGTGGAGTAGCATGGTATGACGCACCAATGTCAATAATCCAATTTGTGTCTTGGCAAGTAAGGCTAAAACAAAACTCTTCACATCTTAACCTCACTATCTGAAACAACTGCAGTCGTCTCATTTCCTTCTTTCTTTTCACATTTTTCTTTCTTTTTGTCACTTTTTAATTTCCTACATTCTCTCTTGAAGTGTCCCAACTTATTGCAATAATGGCAAGTGATATCTTTTTTGACTTGGATTTACCTTTAAACTTGTCACAGTTGTATAGACCTCGGCTTTGACTTCAACCCTGGCTTTCTTTAAGAAGTGCATCTAATTTACTAGTGTCCAATGATTTCCTTCTAATTTCCTCATTGAGCAAATTGCTTCTTACCATACTCATTGTGACTTTTCTTTCGGGTGTAGAGTTGCTAAGAAACACCACAAGCGTCTCCCAACTTTCTGGAAATGAACTTAGTATCAATAAGACTTGGATCTCATCATCCAACACCATTTTCATTGAAACCAACTGATTTACAATATCTTGCATCTGGTTCAAGTATTCGGTAATGAACGAATTCTCTTTATACTTCAAATGTACGAGCTTCCTTATTAAGAAAGCCTTATTGTCGACGGTTTTCTTCTCATACAACTCTCCCAACTTATTCCAAAGAGGAACGATTGAAGTTTCATTTGCCACAATATGATAATTACTATCATCCAACCATTGTTAAATATATACAACGGCTTTCAAATCAAGAATTTCCCATTGATCACTTAACATATCCTTGGGCTTGTTTTGTTCATCTTTCAATGGTGCATACAAGTCTTTGGAACGAGAGAAATGGGCCCCCAAGGACCCTATTTATAGATGGGTGAATCGAACTATGAATGGTTGAGATCAGTTGGACCCAACGGTTCACAAGGACGCAACTATTTGTATTTCGAGGCAAAAAAYAGTTTAGTGTGTTTTTGACATCTGCATGACTTAATGGTTGCATGGTGTCCGCGCATCCTCAGTATGTTACCTTGTGCCTAGGCCAGACCGACTGAACCAACTCGATCCCGAGCCATTAGTTTGACCACGATTGAGGATGAAAATCAGAACAAATCACCTCAGGTTAAGACTACTCCCTCACCAAACTGGCATCGACTCGAGAGTTGGGGGCAAGTGATGAGGGGCGATTTGGCCCTCTAGTGATGTGATGACATGTGGCACCTCAAACAATTATGTGACATCTAAGTACCATGTAAGCAAACCTCGGGAGCGCCTTGGACACCTTGACCTTGGCACCACCTCGGTAATCCGAATTGTGAATAGCCTGACAAGACATCAGGTCAGCATAAGAGACAACCTACTTTCACCGACCTAACTCGAGTTCAGCTAGCGACCTACCTAACGTGTCGGGCGACCTCTTTGCTTAATGGGTAATCGTCTTCAACTTCTCTAGAATTACGATGCAATTATCACTCTGCCCGCTTCAAACAGAACTAAATAGACACTACCCGCTTACGTAGAGTTCATGGGCGTGAAATCACCTCCCATTCAAACGAGTAAAAAATCTCAACAAGCTTCGTGCCTCACGACAAGTAGCCTATACCCCAGTCATAGAAAAAGTTCACTAACTCACGACGAGTAAAAAATCTCGCTAGAGCACCAGATCGAGCACAATCATTAATTTTATATTTAGCAAAAACAAAACATAAGATTTCTTCTATCTACCCGTAATTTACACGGAAAAGAGCTCTGCAAGTGCTCCTTGCAACCGAAGTCTTCGGCTTCTTTTTATTTAGCTCAGGTGGGGTGGTCTGGATTAGGGGACTGTTGCCTGGAGAGAAGTTATAAAAAAGCCACCTCCCACGGTGTTTGTGAGGAAGATCGCTGGGTGGAGTGTCACTCTGCCAGTCTGGAGAAGTTATAAAAAGCCACCGTGAGAACCGTAATCGAGGAATAAAAATCAAACGAAAATGGGGAACCTGAAGAACGGTTTAATAGCAGTGACGGTTCCTCTTCCTTCCGTAGCTTTCTATCTCATTTTTCTCCACTATTACCACCGCTATCCTATTACAGAAATCGATAGCAGTAGCACTGCCCCTCCCTATGGACCCTATCATCATCTGTGGACATGGTGTTTCCTCCATCCTCTTTTATTAGCAAACCTCCTATTCTTCTTCAACGTCAATGTCCTCTTCTGGCTTATCAGCCTCATCCAATCAAGCCACTGGGTAGGTGCCCCCTTCGCGTGCCGGGCGAATGTTTTACCTTTTTTACCTCTCTCTCTCTCTCTTAAGTATATATCTTTTTGGGTGGCATGGTGATGCAGATGATAGACTTGTACTGGACTGTTATACCCGTAATGCTTGCTCACTACTATGCGACATACCCTTCTGCACGGTACAACATCTGGAGGTCGACAATAGTGATTTTCCTGACCTGGGTTTGGAGCATCAGGCTCACGCATAACTACTTCAGGAGGGAGAAATGGGAATGGGGTGCAAGAGAGGACTGGAGGTTCACCGATATGCGTAAGCGCTATGTCAAGCACTGGTGGTGGCTTTCCTTCTTTGCCGTCTATGTCTCTCAGCAGGTAATTTGAAAGTTGTTCCGTACTTTAATTTCTCGCTCAGTTTTGCCAATTCAACATTTCCTAATAACAGATGCTCGAGAAAATGCAGCAATGAGCTTCTGGAGCATTAAATTCTGTCTCTTTGATCTCATTGAAATTTACAGGTCTTTCTGATTGGTATATGCCTCCCTATGTATTCTGTTCACTCGGTAGAGAAGCCATGGAACGTCTGGGACTCCATTGCTACCATTGTTTGCATGTGTGGTATCACCGTAGCTTATTTTGCTGACACGCAGCTCCATGATTTTGTAACAAGAAACAACGCATTGAAAGAGTTAGGAGTGCCTCTGGTGCCCAATCTTGACAAGGGATTGTGGCGGTACTCCCGACATCCGAACTACTTTGGGGAGCAATTGTGGTGGTGGGGATTAGTTATCTTCGGATGGAACGTTGGCCATGGATGGACCTTCATTGGGTCACTTATTAATAGTCTGTGCTTGGCGTATGTGACGGTGCTTGTAGAGCGGCGAATGATGAAACAAGAATATAGAGCTGATGCATACAGGCTCTACCAGAAAACAACATCGGTTTGGATACCATGGTTCAAGTCATCTCTGACTGGAGGAAAAGATAAGAGCACCTGATGTATGTACTCCTTTTGTCATGGGGTAATTGGTTCTTGATATATTCTTTATCGCTCTACTCTGATTGTGTGCCATTGTTTTGATGTTCGTCACTGTTTCACGTTGGCTGTTTGAAGACTAGAGGAATGATGGATTTTATTTGCTCAGTTTATGACTTTCAATTTATAAAAGAAAATGAAAATCAGTAGCGACAAACTGTAGATTTGTTTTTCATGTTTCCTTAACGCTGTACTAAAGCAGAATATAATCGGAGCTTATAAAGAATATAAAAGAAAAGATAATCAGGTGATTCTTCTGAGAATTGTGGTATGAACATATGGTCCGTATAGAGTTGGTGAATTCTTTTAGAAAAAATGTGAAAGGAAACTTGATTGATATTTGTAATTGCAACTTAACGAGATCATCGTTGAGTATCCTATAAGCGAGAGTGCTTGTTGTTTCTCTATATGATTTTGCAAGGTTGATTATTCTGTGCCACTATACCAGTTATGTGTGATATCAAAGCATATCCCAACAAAAGCAATTTAATGCACTACCATTTTTATGCGGAGTTCTGCTTAAATTATATTTTGATGAACAATCCTCAGACCGTGCAAGCATGCCATCTGCCAAAAGATTTCACCACTCACATACACACATAACATGTATGTATAAATACTCATTTGAAATTTTAGAAATAGGTGGTATAATCTAATTTTTCTGCATTTGCATTGGACATATGGTATGTAAGAAATGACAGATTAGAACTAAAATGATATAATCTAATTTTTCAGCAATACTAGTTCAAAACTAAAATGCATATTTCCACACCAGAGAAAACCAGATTGAAATTAAGGGGTAGAGAACATGGTAAGGAAGAGAACTTCTCCAATTGCCATTTTGTGGAATATTCAGCTCATGATATAGGAGAGAGAATAATACAGCAAGACGAATGACCATATATATCTTAAATGAAATTGGACGGTTTATCATACAGGTCTCATGAGATGAACCTTAAGATACCCAAGCCATACAATCTAGACTACAGGAATCTTATTCTTGATTTGCAGCTTTCTTCTCATCTCGGGCTACTCTTTTTGCTCCTATGTGACACAATCAAGTTACAGATGTCAAGGGTTTTTCGTGGCGTGTAGCATCTGATTCATGCACCTGAATATCTGGTTTCCCCATAAGATCTGTCACCACCCCTGGCTCCTTCGTCTGGTCTGTTATTTCATTGCCAGCTCCACCATTCTCTTCACTCTTCTCTGCAGTCACATGATTCGCATCCAATGACTCCTCTATCCCAGAAACTAGATCCCCAAGATCATTGGGTGGTTCAGGAGAGGCATTTCCATCTGAATTGACTGTTTTCGGATTTGGTTCAGAGAGATCTACCAATGGCTCCTTTTGATTTTTACCTCCATTGTTGTTCTCCTGCAATTATAAAACACTAGAATAAGAGATGTCGTTGGACCAATATTGTGTAAAGAATTACTGGAAAATGACCTATCAAAACAGAAATAGAATTACTGCCAAATTACCCAAAAAAACAACAAAGAATTACTGCAAAACCTTTATTCATAACATGTATGTGCACAATGGCTTATAGGTAGAGTATGAACCTTTCGTGCATTGTTTCCAACTAAGGGATCTCTTTTAAAGGAACGTTACCAGGTAGTAATTCATCTGTCCCTACTTTCTTTTCTGAACTTATGGCCATAATCTTATGGATACTCCACATACATGAAATAAATGAGATAGTATCATCATCATGTGAATGCCTGCTTATCATGTAAATTATAGAGTAAACCCATGGCCCTATCAGTACTACAATCATACAATGCACCAGGTGTGTTTGAGCTTACTTTTGTTACAGTATCGCCTTCAGCATTCTTCACAGTAGGGCCAGGGCTGGGTGGGTCTGGAGGTGAATCTGGACCACTATTCAAATCTTTGGGTTTGCTCGCACAGCCTCCCATTGGTTTTACTTGAATTAAATGTGGAATGAAATGCGATGTGGAGGTGGCTGCAAATCTAGGAGCTAACCTTGAGGGCTGGGGCTAAATAGGAAGAGGGAGGCAAGAACTAGAAGAGGCAGGGGTCTAATATCAAGGGAGTTGTTGGCGAGGGAAGGATTTAAGCGTTTGAGCAGCGAGATGGGTTTGTGGCGGACATGTGGACGACCTTTTCAGAAGGACAACAGGTTTCTTTATGGCCTCTTTTTCTGGGGTAGCCGTTGGAGTTGGTTCATGTATGTTTTACATAAGTGGGCTTTCAAATCTACTACACCCATTTTCTGGCTCAGTTTGGAAGGAGTACAAATGCAAATATATAGAGTGCAAAATCTTGCATTTTGTATTATTTTATATGTATTTGTACTGTACATATTTGTATTTATAATCTTTCCAAACAGAGCCTTARGCTTAGTTTGAAAATCAAATAATTGAAAATTTTGATGTTTGTTCATGTTATACTACTTGTTCATTGTTTACGTATAATGGGAAATTAGATGTGAGTTCTAAACCCAACCTGCCCCACCCTCAAATGTGGGAGGGGTAGGGTCAAGGAGATTTTGCATTTTCATGTATGGGGAGGGTTTAGATTCTGAATATCTAACCTGCTATGGGTTTCCAAGAGGGTATGAGTTGGAAAGTCTAGGCAAGCAAGAAGGGCCTAGAATTTACAAAACCCTCCCCGTACCTGCCCCATTGCCTTCCCTACTTTAAGGTGAAGCTTTAGCACTGCTTAGGATGAGGATAAAAAGGTTAGCAATATTTTCTTCTTTGACTCAATTTCTCACCTTCACCATTGAAATAACTTCTTCCCTTGTGTCTATGGTTAGGCATTGCTCTTTCTCTCTTTCACCATTAATTAGGCTAGCTGCAATGCCTAGTTGTAGTTGTTTGTTTTTTCTTTTTTTTTGCTTAAAAATGGATTTTGGAGAAGAGACGGGTTTTGGGATTTTACAACCTGTGCGGGTATAGGTAGGGTGCAGTGTTAGGCTAAACTGGACCCTCCCCATGCAGATTATTGTTGGAAGGCATATGAACTCATGTATTAGGTATTGAATTTAATAATATTTTGAATTTATGTGAAGGATAATTGATAATTTGTGTTTTTTACATGTCTTTATCAAATAATTAGAAATTTTATTGTTCACTCATGTTATTTTACTTGTTTAATGCTTACATATAATAGGAAATAATAAGAAATTAGATGCAAATTTCGGATCCGACCTGCTTGATGCAGTCAGACATTTCTAACAAAGACTCGCTGCAATAGTAGTCAATGATTGAAATAACAAAAATAATGTTAACCTCTCCGTTTTACAACCCACAAGGGTAGTGACCTTAACTTCTAATCAAGTAGATGGTCATAGGATTTCAGGGGTTTGCTCAAAAATAGGTTCAACAAGAGAGAAGAGGAAGAAGATAATGCTTAAAGACAAAAGGTAATAACTTGATTCAATTCAACCAAAAAATTGTCTCTTACAAGGTTTGACATAGCTTATTAGCTTATATATATAAGGATGAAAGAAAAGATTTACAATTTTAGTGCTCAAGACATTATACCAAAATAGATAAACAAAAGAGTGGTTGAAGTGAACAAACAAGCACTAGTTAAGAAGGGAAATTGGTAGGGGAAAGGTGCCTAAACACCAATCTGATTGTATGAGCCAAGTGACCACTAACCTAAAATCACATTGTCAACAGAAGACTAGATTCACATAAATTGTATTGCAAAGTGAAGGGTGCAATCTTGCAACTTGGTCATTGTAGAGCTTGATATCTATGACTGGCTCTATGTGATCTCACAACGAGGTTGGGAGGTCTCAGGAGCCAATGTTTGAGTGGCCTTGTGGCACTAGACCTTGTAGGGCTCTAGGCAACTTCGTAGTTGTTTGTCAGTAAGGCGTCTTCACAAATGGCGAGTGAGGTGAACACGTGGAGCTCTGAGCAAAGTAATCTTGCGAAACTGGAACTTGTGGGGCTTTGGGCTTTGTTGGGTTAGATGCATTAGTTAGGTGACTTTGCAACGCACGAGACGGTGAGTGAAGCTACAAGGCCTTGATTGCGATCTCACAACATTTTAAAACCTCAAGCAACCCAAAAAAACTAAAAAAAGACTTACCTTTCATATGTACCTTGTTAAAGGTTTTCCAACAGTTAGGGATGAGATAAAATGAAGTTTAAATGGATTTTTGAGATAGGGAGTGCTTTTGGTTGCAACAACTTCCGCTTGAGAATGGAGGAGGCAAGTTTGGAATCTAGGGTTTGGAGTACCTCTGAATTTCAGGTGAACAAGAGGCAGTATATGGGCTAAGAGGAAGCTCTCTTCTCTCTTTCTCTCTCTCTCTCTCTCGTTAGGGGCCTCCCTCAAGTTTCCTCCATCTTCTTCTTTTTTCTCCCACCCCTTTAAACTTGAATTAGATTAGTATTTATAGAGAAAGGGAGGGGACCCAAGTTTGAATTCGTTCAACTATAGTGCCTGGGATTCAACAAAGGTTTTTCACACAAATAGGCAAAGATTCTTCAAAGAAATAGATGTTCAGTCAAGCTTTCCTATTTCGTGAAACATTTTTTTCAGTTTGGGGGTAATTTTTGTGAGTTTTCTGCATCCAATGGGAACTTAGGGCGTGCCTGTCATGATAGTCTCATATTCGGGGTTGTTAGTGGCAGAAAATGTAAATGTGATGAACTTTTAAATGCTATTTTGTATTTTCTTGGTCTCAAGTGGGGTTTGTTTGGTATTTTAAGATTTTTAAGCCTATTAGGCTCTGTTTCATCGGTCTAAGTGCTCTAATGAGTCAAGGATGGGTCTGACATCATCCGTCACCCTTTTAAGGCTTCAGGTTGGGACAGATGATGTGGTAATTTAATCTAGTTCATCAAAATGGTATCTTTCTAGTGTAACGGTCAAACGGGTGAGTCTGGTCATGAAATTTGGCGTAGTGGGGAGTGGTGAGGTCTGATCGGACAAATAGGGTTAGGATGATTGAGATCTATGGCCGACAAGTTTGGGTCAACGAAATTTGCTAAAATAAAATATTTGTTTGATGAAGGGTCAAACGGGGGAATTTTGGGATGAAATTTAGTGTGTTGGCACTTTTGAACGCCTTAAATCTAATGGAAGTGATGGATCTTTGATCAGGGATGTAGGTTGATTGTTTTAGTTCAGATCATGGTCTTAGCTTATGGTTTTTCAATCAACAAGAGAGCCCAAAATGAAAAGTTACTTTTTCAACGGTCAAACGGAGGTGTTTGCTCGTGAAATTTAATGTGCTAGGGTTTTTTGGGTCTCCAAATACAATGGTAAGGTCTAATTGGTCATATGAGGTTGGGATGACAGATGGTAAGCTCTAATTAATGACATTTGTTGAAATAGGATCTAAGAT